AGGAGAATAAGATATGGTGAAGAACAGCCATTTACATAGGTTTTTAGTCATTTGGCTGGAATAGAATGCAAGAATTTGAAAACATAGTTGTCAACTGCCTCACATGATTTGGGATAGGATGACTCTCTTCGCTTCTATTTAGGGTAAATCATAATGTTTTCTTAAGGGGATGCCTTTCTCCTCTTTTAACAGATTGGATCTCTATTTTGTTATAATGCTCAATTTTCATTGTCGTATTTCTTGATTTTCTTTTTGTTGGAAAATATCTTATCTTCCCCTCTTTTATATATTCTCCCTCTTCAAGAGAAGAAAAGTGAAAAGCAACGATGATACCAACCAAAACAATAGGAACAAAAGGAACGCATAATTTACAGGCTCTACCTTTTGGCTGCAACAGAGAAAATAACCAAGAACGTCAAAAAAATTGTCCCTATATAAGTCCAATCTGCTAGAACCTGTAGCATGTAATTATCATTTTGATTAAAGAAAAAACAGTTAAACTTATTGTAGAAATGAAGAAATTATTAACCATGTAAGTTGGGAGATCTAATAAACATATTCCATAAAAGCCTACAGAAAACTGTACCAAATAGTTTTTACATTCTTTAGCAAAGGCAGTGATCAGTAAGACAGAAAAGCCACCACGTGAACAAGTAAAGATAGTCAATCCAAACTGAAGATAAATAGATGTTAACTCCCTTCAACATGAGAAAACTTACCGTGAAAAATAAGAGCATGGGAAGAATAATGAAGATAAAATCAACAGAGATTGTAACCATGTGAGCCCTCAAACTCTTAGAAGGAATAACATCCCCGTCATTTTTCTTCCATGAGGTGTCTATGACATTGCCAAAAAAGGTGGATTAGTAGCCTAAAAGGTTCTACGCCTCATAAATTTCTTAACCTCCATTTTCAAAGAGTAAAACACTTACATTTGTTACATGAAAATGATTTTTAGTTTTTATTTTCTAAATACATGTAATTTTTTTGCAAAAATTTAAGTTCAATACTAACAAGAAAATAACAGTGAGAATAATAATGAATAGTGACATTTTCGAAGTGTTATTTTAGTGGCTTTTAAAATTGTTTTTTTTAGTGCTTGATTTTTCCACAAATACATATATCTTGCGTATTTTCATAAACAGACACGTATAAACACATAAATTTTGAAAAATGAAAATGAAAAGATTTTTATGTATCAAATGCACCCAAAGTCTTGTTCTTTAGACATAAACAGACCTCTTCTAGCTCTCTTTCTTCTTCTCATCCAAATGTAGCTTGCATAAAGTACTGTCTTGAAGCAAAGGCAACAGTTCATCTTATACTCATTTC